GCTTTGAATACGCAGTATTAACCTAAACATATTTTGCAGAAAATATGCATTAAAATATTCTCTCTTGTACTCATTAAGTCTTCTTCAAACTATATACTTGAAGAAATCATACCTTTCGATATCGAAAAAGATGTTTGCAATCGCCCAGTACTTTTAAACCAATCTACTGTTACATCTTTACTCAAGGTTTACAAACTACAAGCCTTATATTTCCCGTATAAAGAAAATCTCACATTCCTATACGCCCCGAGGGAGAGGTAATATAGGTTTCTAAAATAGGAAAGTGGGGGTGAATCATATGGTAGACTTCCAGTGTCGAATACGTAGAGAACAGACTTTAGGTCAAATCATCCATTGGAACACTCCCTACAGGCAGTCTAGTATGCATAAACCCGAGGCCACGAAAGTCAGCAAACTCGAGTCGTAAAGGAGATACGGGCTACTGACTGTGAGGCGAATAAATGCATGCTTTAATAAGAGGCAAAGCATACCATGTCTTTGGCTTCGGGACACTGGCAGTCGATTCAAATTCCTTTTCAGCCTTGTGGAATTCAGTTAGAAGGTGCTGGCAGGAAAATAAAGCGAAAAATAAGCGAATGTGTTGCAAAGACGAGGCGGTTGAGCGGTCGAGCAGGTGCACAAGTCTTATCCGGGGACAGATACGATATGGAACAACCGGGGCCGTCAACCAGCACCGAGACCAACGTGCATATAGGCCTGAAACAAGTCGGAGCGCGACGGAGGCCGGCGGAGCGAACGCACATGAAGGCGAAGCCAACACACGCAGCACGGTGGCAGACAGGGTAAACGAGGAGGCCGAAGGCGAGGCGCGAAACATACAGCGACTCAACCATGATTGGTAGAACATGCACACGGAAGAGCGGCATAGAGACGAGGACTATGAGCCAGAGAGCCCATTCTCTGAAGATGGGTATACGAGACTACCCGAAACGCCAGGCTTATAATAAACTTCTCGCGGTGAAAGCTCTTCTTTCTTTTGATTTACCACCTGGGAATCGAATTTTCAGCACTATTACTACAAACATCAGGAGTTCCCACAAAAGGGGCCGAGCGGCTCACAGCCACTCAACATACACGCACTGGCTTCGCGCGCTGCAATACACACCAACTTGACAACACTTTACTTGGCTCCACAAACCCAGTA